AGCTCATGTAAGTGAAGGCATACAATGCTTGTCTTTTTGTGTCTGATTTATTCACTTGGCATGTTATCATCAAGATTCATCCATGTTGCAGTATATGTCAGAATTTCATTCCTTTTATGGCTGAATAATATTCTGCTGTATGCTTAAGCTGCCTTTTGTTTTTCCATTTATCTATTGATGGGCACTTGTTTTTTCCCACTTTTTGCCTTGGGAATAGCACTGCTATTAACATTGTTATACTCTGTTTGAGTCCCTGCTTTCAGTTCTTTTGAGTATATATCCAAGAATAGAATCACTGGTTCATATGGTAATTCTACATTTTTTTTCTATTAAGGAACTCTTTTCAAAAAATCCATATTTTTTTGGAAGCAACTTGTCTTTATAAAGACTTTCTAAAGTATCCAACTTGATTTTTGCACAGAAACAGCTCTTGTTACTTATGGCCCTATATTTTATCATTTCTAAACATTTAATTAAGTTGCATAATTCCAATAAGCCCAAGTGTCATAAGAAGATTTAGAAACATATACAATTGATATTTCTTAAGCATGCAGCTCTCAAGACCAGAAGTACTTGGAGAGATTTTCCAGCCATGAGCCCTAGTGTGCTGTGGACAGCCAGCCAATACAGATTTCTGAACACAGAATGAATGGAGGATACTGGTTAATCAGTCAGTTAAGTGGAGGCCAGTTCGAAGAACTTCAGTAGAAGCTAATTTATCTTTGTTTAAAACATATAAAGAAATTTAGAAGCAAATGACTGATGGAAGTAGAAAGCAATAGCTGCATATCCATGACTGCTAACATCCATAGCAATTGAAGAAAGGAAAACAGCAAACACTTTTTAAAAAGAATGAAGATTGACTGATCTGGTCACTTTTTGTATAAACTCTGGAACTTAAGAAAGTACTAATGACAAGTTGATTTCCCATGCTGCCTTCTGTTACTTTAATTGGTTTGGTGTGAAATGGGAGATAAGCATGAGAATAGGGAGGTTATATCTATTTTAAGAAGACATCTTTTGGGGGCCTGTGCTGTGGCGTAGCAGGTAAAGCCACTGCCTGCAGTGCCGACATCCCACATGGACGCCAGTTCAAGTCCCAGCTGCTCCACTTTCAATCCAGCTCTCTGCTGTGGCCTGGGAAAGCAGTAGAAGATGGCCCAAGTCCTTGGGCTCCTGCACCCATGCGGGAGACTCAGAAGAAGCTCCTGGCTCCTGGCTTTGCATCGGCACAGCTCCGGTCATTGTGGCCAACTGGGGAGTGAACTAGCGAGCACAAGAACTCTCTCTCTGCCTCTCCTCTCCGTGTAATTCTGACTTTCAAATAAATAAATAAATCTTTTAAAAAAAGAAGACACTTTTCACATTAAGATTCTGTGTTGAAATATGATTAGAAGTTTTTCTAGACAGTTCTGAATTGAAATCAAGAAGCTGTAGGATGAATATTTTTATATAGCATCATTCATCCTTGCTAGAAACCCAAATGACTAAGGGTTTGGGAAATTGCTCCTCTAAGTATGGTCTGAAGAAACTGGGTTTATTTAACTTAGAGAGAGAAACCAAGCACATTGAGGGGGACTTAAATAGTAGTCTCCTAGAATATGAGGGATATTCGCTGTGTGATTGAAAGCAGCTGTTTCCACTAAGTACTGGATAAGAAGAATGGAGTTAAATTGCAACAAGTAGATTTAAGAACTCTTTGGACATAAGGTTTGAGAGGACAAACCCACAAGACCAAAGTCACTTCTCCATTGCAGAACTATGTAACTAACTATCTTTTTTGAGCTGTTTAAATGTGGTCTGTCTTGAATCTTAAACTAGTAAACTAACAACAACAAAAAAGTAAATTAGAGGGGGAGGCAAGCATTTGGTGCAGCAGTTAAGATGATGCTTGTTACCCCCACATCCCTAATCGGAATTTCTGGGTTCAAATCCCACCTCCACTTCCAATCCAGAACCCTTCTTTTTTTTAAATATTTATTTATGTATTTATTTATTTAAAGACAGAGTTACAGAGAGGCAGAGGCAGAGAGAGGGAAAGAGAGAGAGAGAAGGAAAGTCTTTCATCCACTGGTTCATTCCCCAGATATCCGCAGTGGCCAGGACTGAGCTGATCTGAAGCCAGGAACCAGGAGCTTTTTCCCATTTGGGATGCCAGCATGGCAGGTGGCGGCTTAACCCACTATGCCACAGTGCCGGCCCCTCCAGCATCCTTCTAATGAACGCCTTGGAGTCAGCAGGCAACAGTTCACTCTTTCATCCATGGGGAAACCCAGATTGAGTTCCAGAATCTTGGCTTCAGCCTCACCAAGCGCATGCTGTTGCAGGCATTTGAGGAATGCACATGTGGATACAAGATCTTGATCGATCACTCTCTCACTCAAATAAATAAATTTTGATTTGTGATATCTAGATTTTTCACTCATGTGAGAATATGGGGTTGTCCATTGTCTAAGCCTACCAGTGCTCTGTAGTTAAGGAGACCCATATCACTAAATCTAATGAGACTTAAAGGGAAAAAATTCAGAGTCTTTTTGCTTCTCTTTGGTCTCTTTTTAAAGCAAGATATTCTAGATTTGCTCCTTTTCTATGAGGCAATGAATTCCTACAGATTTACTAGTGAGCATTTTTTATGTCTATTTGGCCAAGATGGTCATGGTTTTTTAAAAATAGTCTGTCTTCAGTGACACTGAATATATATGTAGATGTATGTATATGTTATACATGTCACTGATATTTAATATATGATAAATATCATATATAATTCATTCAATAATAGAAGCTATATTTTGTTCTAGGTAGTGCCCATAAGTGTTAGCTATTTGAAGATGAATACTATATACATGGTGCCAATAAGGAGTACAGCAAATATGCAAAGCATTATGTAATAATACACTATTATAGGAGATCAGTTAGGGGAAGAATTTAAAGACAGAAAAATGAGTTCTGGGTATGTTATTAATTTATAGCCAATGAGGCAGATGGAAATGCCTGAAAACTTCTCAACCATTGTTTTTTTTATCATTGTTATCCTATATTAGGTTAATTATACCATTTATTCTGAATTGGATAAGTGGTGTCTTATTTGCCCAACTGGGAGTATTTTCAAGGCAAGGTTTGATTCCCAGAGGATTGCCTGCTGTTAAGCTGCAGTTTTAAAGTTATAGCTTAATGTGAGCATTAACTGTGCCTACATTCCGCCATGTTTTATTTCGTCTTATACCAACATTTACTATAATCTTATTTAAAATCTTTTTCCTCTATCATTGAATATTTTCTGCCATCTGGAAAGGGATACAGATGAATTATGATCCCACTTTGACTCCCACAACTTTTTTTGCCCTTCAGAAATCCAGCGCTGAAATGGGAAAATGACACTGCATTGTTTTGAATCCTCTCTTCACAGGTGTTCACTGTGAAATATCAGGAAAGTTCCTTAACCTCTCCGAGATTCTGTTTTCTTAATCTACCCTATAGGAATATTTCTCAGAATAAATTAAAGAACATAATGTGTGCCAAGCCCAGAGTGCCCAGCCTTCACACAATGTTTAGTTGCTTCCTGTATTTTACAGAGAATGTCTCCTGCCTATGATACAATCATAATTACCTCTAGATTCTCGTTATTTAGTGGAGCTTTTATTGGGCCATAGGGGCAGATCTGTAGACCAAGGTTTGTCTACAATTCATGAGGGCACCCAAAAATCCAGTTAAATGAATTTCTTTCTTTTTGTATACTGGTCAATCCAGAAAATGGTCTACTATTATCCCAAACATTCCAGGAAGCATTTTGTTGCCAAATTTTCTGAAACATATCATGTACATATGTGAAAGAAGAGTGCATTTTAAAATCAATGGGAAGATTTTGCAATTTCATTTTGTAAAACTTAAAGAGGAGTTAATAAATCTTCAAGGTAATCAAGTAGTCATTTGATAGTCATCAACTCAATTGAATGCTATGCTTTGAAATAATATCAAATTGAAGACATGATTGCTGAACTGGAGAATCTTATGAACTTGTCTGAGCAACCAAATTCATGCATATGAAGTGTCCACAGAACAGTTAGACTGAATATCAGGAGAGGTATCCTAAAACGACAGTGCTCAAGCCCCTAGGAACTGAGGAATGCCAGGATACCCTGTTTAGATAGGGATTTACTGAAGCTCAAGAGACTTAGGACCAGGTTTGGTTCATAAAGCATTTTTGTTTCAAGATAGGATTGTTAAAAACCACTTAAAATGTTCACTTCCTATAGGAACCTAAGAACATACTGCAGTTTCTGTTTACATATTTGAAATAAATGCATCTACTAAAGTCTCAAGTGTTGAGACTGACTTGCTTGCAGACTCTCATCTACAATCTGTGCCAGAATACTGCTGCCCAAATTCATTCTTAGCCTGCAGGATGTGGAATATCTTTATAAATCATAACAGGTCATGTTGAGAGTAAAAATCCCAGCTAGAGACTAACCTCAAAAACTAAGGCATGACACACATTTTAATGGCAGTGGATTTAGGAACCGAGGTTAGGACCTTTTTCTATTAGCAGGAGATTTATAATTCTAGGCCTTTGGGGGTGAACTTGGGTCCTCTGAACTTTGCCTCTACCCTTTTCCTCTCTGCACCCCAGTTCCCCAAATTAAAGAAGTAGGGAAACAGAACAAGAAAACCATAAAATTAATAGCATAGAATTTATTGCTGAAATCTTGCAAAGCTTATGTCAGCAAAGTAAAATACTTACTGTCACTTTCTTTTAGACACTTGGCTTTATGGTTCCTTTCACCTTTATCATAACATGCAGCTGATTTAGTAGCTCAGTTTTTCATGGCAATGGCCTGATGCTGTGTTTTTATGCATGTGGCCATGCCATTGAGATGACAATACATGGATATACAAGAGTGGAACTAAATTTAGATAATGAATTGGGATAACGTTAATGGTTTTGATTTAGTCTTACTGTCAGTGTGCCAATTGAGCTTTTTATCTTTCTCTTTACCCCATAGATTCTCAAATCCAAGGATTTAACATCTCCAACCCAGCGCTACATCGACAGCAAAGTCGTGAAAACAAGAGCAGAAGGCGAATGGCTCTCCTTCGATGTAACTGATGCTGTTCATGAATGGCTTCACCATAAAGGTCACAAACCATCCTCTTTTTTTCTCTCTAGAAGTTCGGTAGCCTTAGTTACTGTAAATTGATTGCAGATTTAAGGTTGTAGACACATGTACAAATAACCTCCTTGACTTAATGTTTTCCAGACAGGAATCTGGGATTCAAAATAAGTTTACATTGTCCCTGCTGCACCTTTGTACCTTCTAATAATTACATCATCCCGAATAAAAGTGAAGAACTAGAAGCAAGATTTGCAGGTAACTGAAACTTGGTCACATGAGAAGGGGGTGGTAAAGGTCTATGTTCATGGGGGTTAAAATCAGTTTGCACATGAAATGGGAGTGTTTGATGAAATCTGGGCTGTTTCATTCACCTGGGTATTTCATTCATATGGTTGGAGAAAGATAGGTAAAGATAGAAAGGATTGCAAAAAAAGAGATTGTTTCCCAGTTTATGCTGCTCAGTGCTCAGTGATGACCTGTTCAATATTAACTCACTGACTCATTAACCCTCCAAACTACTAAATTGCCAGTTAAGCACTTTATTTTTATTTAAGAAAACCAACTTTCCATTTCTACTGATATTAAAGAAGATAACATGCATCTGAGAAAATCCATCGATAACTCCCCAAACCAAATTTCAGGAACTCACAACTGTATTCCACTGAAGAAAAGAGATCCTTCGTGCTACAGCTTCTATAACTAACCTTCCATACATGTTTCCTAGCTTTCAGTCGATATTTCCAATTGTTTCCTTATCAGACTTTAGTAATTGTCTGTAAATACATAACAAGGTTTTGCTTTTCCACATGCTCATCTTTATGTGAGTTACTCAAAAACTGGGAAAAATAAGGCCATGCCTAGGATTTGAGCCACTTCACATATTGGATAGTGAGTCATTGGGTACTAAGAGGTCAGAGGGAAAGCTGTACTCACGTGCTGGTGCCCCATTAGTCTATACTGCCAGGTGAGGGAGCTGATTTCCCTTCCCTGCCAACATCACCCAAGACTTGCATTCACGTTTAGAAGGCTACAGTGGCCCTTGCTTGTGGAAAAATACTCCCAGAGGTCTAGAGATTTATTTCAGTGTCTAACCTAGTCATGATTCTCCAGAGTGCAGAGATTAAATGCTTTAACTGGCAGTCTCTTGAGCATGCTTTGGGGAGCTCAAGTTTCTAAATCTCAGATGGAATCAGCAAAGTGTTGAGGATGCCATAAAATAAATGAAAAAGCCCTTTCTTCACAGCTTCCCAAAATAGCATTCGCTAAGGGTGACTTCTGTTTCGCTTGAACTTAATTCACTGCAATTTAGCTAAGCCTTGGTTTATGTTCATTAGCAAAGTCTTTTGAGTGTAGTGGTCTCAGGAAGAATGTGAACCAGTGGGTGACAAGGCACAGTCTGTGGCTGTGTGTGCAGTTGTCAAGGGTTTGAACACAGCCTACACTGAGGACTGACTAAAATAAATGGCCTAGATTGCCCTTGGTCCATAGGTCAAAGCCTTCTTCTGTAGTGACTTTCAAAACCAACAGCCCTGCCTTTGACACTGAGCTGCTTTCAGACAGGAGCCCCTTTTAGAAGTGTCACCTGTGATAGTCTTGTTGCACCATATCTGTTTCCATGGGGAATGACTATAGCCAGCTGATGTTGCCATGGTGGTTATCACTTCTATTTGTGATAACATACAAATAATATATATATATATATATATATAATAGTTGACTATATTTGATGAAGGTAAAGCTAAATGTTTATTACCCAAATGCATTTTTTCAAGGTATTGATGGCACCTCTACATATACCAGTGGTGATCAGAAAACTATAAAGTCCACTAGGAAAAAAAACAGTGGAAAGACCCCACATCTCCTGCTAATGTTATTGCCCTCCTACAGACTTGAGTCACAACAGTCCAACCGGCGGAAGAAGCGTGCATTGGATGCAGCCTATTGCTTTAGGTAAAAGAAATAAAAATCAAACCAAGTAATTGCATCTGTTAACTCTTCCATTGCCTTTTCTCCTCCTACATATTGACCTGAACTGAACTCACTGTTTAAGGCCAAGTATCATCCATTACAGTTCCTGTATCTCCAAACATCATTCTTCACAGAGGCTTGAAGTGGTTATTTCTGTGTTGTTTTCATCAGCTCTCTAGCTATGCATGAAGTGCAAAGGTAGAAAACTAGCCCTGAAATGTTTTCCCTAAATTCCTCTGAAGTGCGTTGTTGCTAATGAAGAAAATGAGCTCTCTTATCCCCAAGGCACCTATAAGTTCAACTGAGATGTGCGGTTGTGCCTCTGTAGTTAGGAAAGACCCACCACCCGTGTGAAGCCTTCACCCTTCCTGCACAGTGCCTGCGGCCGTGCCTCTTTCACAGGAACAGTAGTCAATGGAAGAGCACTATTTTTCATACCATATCTACAGAATATGAGAGAAGTGAGGGAATAAGGCAAGAGTTTATTTCTCATTCCCACAGGAATTTATGGAGTGACTGTGTGACTGTTCTATGGCTTCTTATTAAATATAGTAGAAATTGTCTCTTTATCTGGGGAGTTACAGACTATGCAGGGTCCTCACTGTTGAAGTTCCACGTGTATCAGAAGCCATGAGTAAAGTGACATTTTTGGTTATGGAGCCAGTTGCACTCAGCAAGACTCCATGTTTCTTGACTTCTGATTTCTTCCCAGATCCAAGAACGTGTGTTGAAATAAGGAATTTATTCTTTTCCAGTAAAACACTTCAATTAATTTTTTACTTTTTATTGCGTATATCAACATTTTACAGAAAAAAAGATAAAGAACTCTTCAGTGTTAAATTGCAATTGCATGAATTCTGGTTCTTTTCAATAGGGAGAACTATGGTTTTTACTATAAATATATATATGTATAATCAGAAAACATAATAATTTATGTCCTAATGAAAATTTTGAGTCTCATTTAAAGTTTTTTTGCATACAAATTTACCTATTTCAAATATTATTTGATGGTTATATAGGAGTTTACGATAGAGAGAGTAATACACAAAATTATCCATTTCTCAGTTCATAGGCTTAAAAGAAAAAAATGCATGCATGTAATTGCTATAACCATCTTTGTACAAGCAGCTTTTTGTTTTCTTTTAAGTATTTTCCTAGGCATATTCTGCTCAAAGTGAATCAGTATGTCAGAATCAAGGACTAGTATTTGATATTGTGGTTAAGATGCTCACATTCCCTATCAGAGAGGCTGGATTCAATCCCAGATCTAGCTCCTGACTCCAGCTTCCTCCTAACGTGTGCTCTGGGAATACCACTGGGAGGCAGCAGTGATGCCTCACATTAATTGAATTTCTGCCACCTATTTGGAAGACCTGGACTGAGTTGCCAGCTCCTAGTTTCTAGCCCAGCCAGTTATGGGCATTTGGGAAATGACCCAGCAGATGGGAGCTCTGTCTCGTTCTCTCTAAAATAAATTAAAAAAAAAAAAAAACTTTAAAAAATCCATTATAGAAGCTGGCGCCGCGACTCACTAGGCTAATCCTCCGCCTTGCGGCACTGGCACACTGGGTTCTAATCCCGGTCGGGGCGCGGGATTCTGTCCCAGTTTCCTCTCTTCCAGGCCAGCTCTCTGCTGTGGCCAGGGAGTGCAGTGGAGGATGGCCCAAGTCCTTGGGCCCTGCACCCCATGGGAGACCAGGAGAAGCACCTGGCTCCTGCCATCAGATCAGCGCGGTGTGCCAGCCGCAGCGTGCCGGCCGTGGCGGCCATTGGAGGGTGAACCAACAGCAAAGGAAGACCTTTCTCTCTGTCTCTCTCTCTCACTGTCCACTCTGCCTGTCAAAAAAAAAAAAAAAATCCATTATAGAGCTCTTGCTATTGTCTTCTCAATTTTTTTTAAATTGTTCTTTATAAGGATACATGCAAATTCATTTTAGGCTTACATAATGACATGAACTAGATTAAAGTTGTTGCAACTTGCATTTCAATATAAATCCAAATTTCATTATAAGAATTTTTATCTTTATCTTCTCATTTGTAATCTAAGGGATCTATCTATTGAAAAATAGCTGTTCCCAATCATTCATTTCCTGTTTGAAAGAGGCTGGATGGCAAAACTGCCAAGTATTGGTTGGAAAGGGCGTGGAACCTCCAGGCTACTTCTTTACTTAAGTCTGGTCATTTGAGAGTTAAGGTTTTCTAGGTCAAAGACAAGGGAGTCAGGATGTAGAACTCCTAAGGGAAAGTAGTCCAGCAAATCACAATACCACATCATGAAAGTCACTTGAGATTACAATATAACCATTAAAACTTGGCCCATGTTAATTTCCCATTAAATGTTTTTCAAGTAAATGAATGAGTTGTTTTTTTTTTGGTTTGGGGTGAGGCACAGGCCGGCGGTGTTGGAAATCAGTTTTAATATCTCCATTGCTCTTTCTTTTAACAGAAATGTGCAGGATAATTGCTGCCTGCGTCCACTCTACATTGATTTCAAGAGGGATCTTGGGTGGAAATGGATACATGAACCTAAAGGGTATAATGCCAACTTCTGTGCTGGGGCATGCCCGTATTTATGGAGTTCAGACACTCAGCACAGTAGGGTAAGTGCTTGTCCAACTCATCTCTTTTGTACTTGGGGTACCAATGTAAATCTGCTGATAATATTTCTAAATGAATTGTAGTTAACCTGATGCCCTTTTCCATTTCACAAACTTATGGGTATTAGATAAATCCTTCTATTTCTTAAAAAGTGTTTTTCTGTTTATTTTTATCTACTTGAAAAGCAGAATGACAGAGAGATTGAGAGAATGAGAGAGAGAGAGAGAGAGAAAGAGAGAGATCTTCTGTCCACAGGTTCACTCCCCAAATGCCTACAACAGCCAGAGGGTGGGTCAGATCAAAGGCAGGAGCCTGGAACTCTGTCCACATATCTGCTGCCTCTCTGGATGCATTTGCATGATGCTGGATCAGAAACAGATTACCCAGGATTCAAATCAGCTCTCTAATATGAGATGCAAGCATCCCAAACAGTGGCTTAACCTGCTGCACCACAGCATCTGCTGCACAAATCCTTTGAAGAAGAAGAATATAGGCAGTAGATTAAATCAAAAAGTAATACTAATCAGTTTCAAACTGGTCTCACTTTCCTAATTGGATTAGGACCAACTATAAGAAAGTTTTTTTGAATTGTATGTTTGCTTTATATTCTTACCAGCTATAAGCCTAAATAGGTAGTCAAAAACAGTTTCGAATCCATCTATCACATAGTGTCACATACAACTAAGGTGAGAAGGTAAGGGATCTAGTTTTCCATCAACAGAAGGATTGATTAATCACTTCCATCAAGGACTGTCATATTGGAATGAACATTGGGTTCTCAGTAGATGCTTTGGCATAGAGATTTGCTTGTGTATGACAATTAGAAAGTCATTTAACCTACTTTAACCTCAATTTCTTATTAGTAAAAAGAAATGTCTTTACATTAAAAATAATCTTTAAAATAATAATGCCAAATTCAAGAGTGGATGTGAAATATGAAAAGATGATACATGTGAAAATGATTTGAAAATCAATTTCCTCTGGACTGAGCTGCTGGCTTCAGCCTGGTCTATCCTTGGCCACTGCAGGCATTTGGCAGTGAACCAGAAAACAGGAACTTTCTCTCTCTCTTTCCCCCAAATAAATAAATAATTTTTAGATATTTCCCAAGGTAAATGAGAATCTGAATATTTTGTCAAGTTTCTTCACTGAAGAGAAAGGGATAATTCAGAAGGCAGGTCCTAAAATGCTACAGGTTCCCAGTCCAGATTAGTGAAGACTTTCTGTGCAATAATATTTGTATGTATATTCCTTCTTTGTGGCTCATAATGTAGGATTTTAGAGACAGGAAGGACATCATATGTTACCCTATACAAACCACTGATTTTTCTAAAGAAATTGGGTTCTAGATCAGGTCCATGGCTTGCTCAAGAACAAAAAAAAATTAATAACAAACCAAGACTTGCAATGCAGAATTTCTTGGTTTATCATCAGACTTCCATTGGCTCTGTCTTACTAAATTTAATCCCTGAAATGTCGCTCCATGTTGGGGTTTCTATTCTGCTCTTTATGCCTCTGTAAATCTCCCTATTAAACAGGCATTAGAAAAATCGCCTTCACTGCAGGGTAGGAGAATGAATCAGCTGCCAAGAAGACTGCAGAATGCATTCAGCTGAATGCAAGAGTTTGGGGGTTATCAATTATTTTAGACAATCTGTATCACAAAAACTCCTCTTTAGTTCCTATGAAAAATCATGTGTTGGTGGAATAAGAAGTTTATTTATAAATGCCTGCATATGAGGGGATTGAAATTGACAAATATGGCTACCCATTTTTCAGCTGTTTTCCCAACTCCCCTGTAGGCTTTGGCACTCCAGGGTGACCACGTGCTTGGCCATGTGAGGGAAGCTTGCTCATGCCTGTCCCTTTGTCTGAGCTCTGGCCAGGCTGCCTCATCTGGGCTGCAACAGCAGTAGCTGTAATGTGGGCAAGGCCCCCTTGCCAAGTAGAAACATAATTCTCCTCCCTGATACACAGAGGGAGTGTGTGAAGGCTGAGACCATGCTTGTTTTTCAAGGAGAGAGGAAGAATAACTGTCATGGTCACAAATATGTGGTTTGGACAGTTACCCAAGAAGCCAGAGGTAGCTTAATAAAGTAGTCAGTGTTGCTGTGCTGAACAGATCTTCTGTCTTAGGCTGAAAAAATTGCAGTGAATCTCGAGGAAAAGGTCACTTGCTATTTGACTAACACATTAATGGCATCCTTGGAAATGTCCCTGTATCATCAGTGGGGAACCTACATGCTTCCATTAGTGAAAATCGCACACCTCTTTGACATAGAATGGGGTTAGAGGTACCATGTATTCTCTATTCAGTTATACGACTGCTATCCACTCCTTCCACTCTGCCACCACCATTTACCATATGGAAGGTAAATGGAGGGTTGCTTGTTATTATTGTTTTGAGCAAAATTTAAGAAAGTGAATAATTAAGACTATACATTGCTTTTATTAAGGGCCATTGGTGGGGTATAGCGGGTAAAGCTACCGCCTGCCGTGCCAGCATCCTATATGGGTGCTGGTTCAAGTCCCGGCTGCTCCGCTTCAATCCAGCTCTCTGCTATGGCCTGGGAAAGCAATAGAAAATGGCCCAAGTGGTAGGGCCCCTGCACCTATGTGGGAGACCCAGAAGAAGCTCCTGGCTCCTGACTTTGGATTGGCTGAGTTCCATCATTGTGGCCATCTGGGGAGTGAACCAGTGAATGGAAGACCTTTCTCTGTCTCTACCTCTGCTTCTGCCTCTTTGTAACTCTGCCTTTCAAATAAATAAATAAATTTTTTTTAAAATTAGACTATACGTTGCTTAAAAAAAAAACAAAGGATTTATTTATTTATTTGAAAGGCAGAGTTACAGAGAGAGAAAGGCAGAGGCAGAGAGAGAGAGAAATCTATCCACAATGGCCAGGGCTGGACTAGGCTGAAGCCAGAGCCAGGAGCTTCATCCAGGTCTCCCATGTGGATGCAGGGGCCCAAGCACTTGGGCCATCTTCCACTGCCTTCCCAGGCACACTAGCAGGGAGCTGAGTGGGAAGTGGAGCAACTAGAACCCGAACCCGTACCCGTATTGAATGCTGATGCTGCAGGCAGCGGCTTAGCCTGCTGTGCCACAGTGCTGGCCCCAACTATACATTGCTTTTATGTCATTTTTAGCCTGGCTGTACTTATCAATCAATGGTAAATTAAAAGGCTTTTATTTATTTATATTTTTACTGAGAATTTAGGTGAAATTAAATTGACCTGAGAAGACATTTTTCATAGAAATATTTTACATTTTATATAGGTATCTTTTTCTATGCCCAATGATAGACTAAATATCTAATGAGAGCTTTAATGAAACCTTTTCTACTTCTTTTTGTTTTTGCTTATAGTTTTACTATGCATTTATTTTTAAAGAAAAGGAAAAAACAAGCCAAGTACAAGTTATCTAGGCAAATAAGCTCAAGTCTTTGTCACATCTGACATAATCTTTATGTAAATTTTTAATTAAAGCTATTTCTGTATGCCTTGTGCTGTTGACTTGATGAGCTGCCATGTATTTGTGGCATAAACCTTTCATAAACCACAATTCAAAGTATTAAGCAAATTTTTAGCTCTTAATATAGGGACAAAACCTGAGCAACCACTGTTCTATGCGTGTTAATATTCTTATTTTTAAAACCATATTTCTTAAAACTCATACTGACCTCAAGAAGAATGATGCTGATTTTGTTGTTTCCTGTCATATTTATTATACAGCAAAAGGATTTACAAGAATTAAATAGCTTAATAGTATCTGTGTAAAACAGTTATATTTAGTTTATGGATTATATTTAGTTTATGGATTAATTCCTTACCATGTCATCTCTTTGCCTATAATACATCTAATACAAATATATATATATGTATATGTGTGTATATATATATATATATATATATATATATATATCTCCTTGGGGATAAAGATCCATAGTTCTAGAATATTCTCAGCCATCTGATTCTGTTACACAACAATATTAGGTTGGAAATAAGACAATTTATATTTTAAATGCTTATTTTGTCTAACCTGCCTCCCAAGGACTCCACTGTAAAGATTAAATACTAGAAATGCTGTGTCTTAATAGATTATTTCCATGATATAAGCCTACTACTGAACTTTATTTTCCATAATTTAAAAAAGGAGACAAAAATACATGTGCTGCCTCTTACAGGTGTGATATATAAATTTAATGTTATTATTTTGGAAATATTATATAACCTGTCAAACAAACATAGACTGCTGGCCACTTTTTATTGAGCTTCCTCAAATTTTCAGAAACAGTAGTGGAAACTTTATATACATGTTACTTGTTGTAATGGTCAACACAACCCTGCACTGTTGTTATAATTACATAAAACAAATAAATGAGTTAATTGAAGGGCAAAAAAGGATGGCTGATTTGCTAAGGACAGATAGCCAGAAAGGGACAGAGGTAGGACTCAACCAATAGTATTTCCAAATAGAAGCTTTACTTTTTCTTTCTGCTCAGAGCTACCACGATTGCATTATTTAAATGTCCTTAAGAACAGTGGATGAAATTAAGACAATTCCGTGTGTGACTCACTGAATAAACTGCTCTGACAAAGAATTAACATCTTGATGGAAATCTGTATGAGATTTTAGAATTCCTAGGTTTCATATATGGTTTTTTTTTTTTTTTGTTTTGTTTTTTTTTAAAATTTTTTTTATTTTATTTATTTATTTATTTTTTTGACAGGCAGAGTGGACAGTGAGAGAGAGAGACAGAGAGAAAGGTCTTCCTTTGCCGTTGGTTCACCCTCCAATGGCCGCCGCGGCCGGCGCGCTGCGGCCGGCGCACCGCACCGATCCGATGGCAGGAGCCAGGAGCCAGGTGCTTTTCCTGGTCTCCCATGGGGTGCAGGGCCCAAGCACCTGGGCCATCCTCCACTGCACTCCCGGGCCACAGCAGAGGGCTGGCCTGGAAGAGGGGCAACCGGGACAGAATCCGGCGCCCCGACCGGGACTAGAACCCGGTGTGCCGGCGCCGCTAGGCGGAGGATTAGCCTAGTGAGCCGCGGCGCCGGCCCTCATATATGGTTTTGATAGATTTTATGAGTCAAGTATGAGGTGAAAAGTGAAAAATAAATGTTTCAATGCAAGAATGTGGTATGCTATCCCAACCAAGCTTATATTTTTAAGTTCCATTGTACTCATATTGTCAAACATATAAACAAATCACAAATGACATGAAATAAGAAAGTTATAAAGATTTCGTTTGCTTTTGGAAAATAGCTGAGAAAAAGCAGAAAGTTATTTTTAGAAATAAAATTTTTTTCATAGTAGCTAATATATCCATCTTAGGCATATAGAAACATTTCTATTTGTAAACATAATACAGCCATAATTTTACTTTATAAAAATCAAGTATCCCAGTAAAAACAGGGTATTCCACCACACTTAATTTTTTAAATTAAAAAATTATACTTTAAGCTAATTATACTTTAAACTAAAATTATAATTATACACACCAATTTCTAACCTCCTGTAACATTGAACAACAGGTTTAATCATGATTAAATGAGTGCTCAGCAAAGCAGCACTGCCTCAATTGTGATATGGTTTGGAGTCAATTTTCCTGTTGTCTAAGAAAAACAATTCCATGAGCAGAGATTTTGGGATCCTTGTGGTTTCATCAATCAAAAGAATGTTTCTGAGCAGCTTCTGAAGAAACATTCCATGACAGATTGATCACAGATATGGGGCCTTCAGTGCTCGTAGTGGCACTGCCAGGCACAATCATGCTAGTTCCTGCCTCACACACTATGGACATTGTTAAGATCTACTCCACCATCGACCTCTATATCCAAATGAGGGAACTGAGTCCTCAACCAGTGAATCTTTGGTATCATATCTTCCATGAATTTCTGTCCTTCAAACACAGGTTCCATGTCATAAACAAGACCGTATATATTTGATTAGCCCATGGTGCCAATTACTCAACTGTACTCCGTGGTTTGATGGCAAGGCCTACCTTCATCCCATTCCCTGGGTTCTCAGTAGCCTGGAGATGAAAGGTATACTGATTGGCTCCTGCTACAACCATTGTCTTTACCTACCATTCTGGCCTGGAGAACCATCAGGTGCATGTCAAAGAAAGAAAGGGTCCTGGGCTAGCTGTTTTGGGGGCCCTTCTATCACAGGATGACCAACGATGATGCTGGGAACAAAATCTTCATCTGTTACTTCCAGGTGCAGGTGATTGGCCCCAGAGTCTAGCATTCAGAGGCTATCGACCCCTAAGTTGGCCAGGTCACTATTGAGGATGGATGGGCCAATCTTGCAGTCTAACACCATGGTGCTGAATCCTAAGTCAACATTTTGTTCTCATCCATTCATTTCTTTTTTTTCATTTTTTTTATTTTTAACTTTTATTTAATGAATATAAATTTCCAAAGTACAGCTTATATGGATTACAATGGCTCCCCCCCATAACGTCCCTCCCACCCGCAACCCTCCCCTTTCCCACTCCCTCTCCCCTTCCATTCACATCAAGATTCATTTTCGATTCTCTTTATATACAGAAGATCAGTTTAGCATACATTAAGTAAAGATTTCAACAGTTTGCTCCCACACAGGAAAAATTGGGAAAATCTGTTGATGGACGATTTTATGCAATCTAATTTTGGTAGAATCAGTTGTGGAAAATGTATGAGAAAGGGGTTCTGGGGTTGGGCATTGTGGCACAGCAGGTGAAGTTGCATTTTGGGGCACTCACATTCCATGTTGGAATGCCTGGAATCCAGTCCTGCCTGGGCTTCCAATCTAGCTCCCAGCAAATGTGCACCCTTGGGAGGCAGCAAATGGTGTACTTGGGTCCCTGTCATCTACATGGTAGGCCCAAGTGGAATTCCTGGCTCCTGGTTTTAGCCTGGCCCTGCCCCAACTGTTGTGGGTATTTTCATTTAGGTAGTAAACCAGCAGGTGGAAAATGAATCTCTTCTCTCCACCCCGACCCCACCTCATTTCAAATAGATAAACTTTAAAAAGAAAAAGACAAAAATATTCTGTAGGAAAAAGGTAACTTTTGTGATTGCTATGAACATGTACCAATCTATCCGTAACTAAGAGTAAAGGAAAGTATAAACGCCAAATAGTTTATATTGCCAACACAGTGCTGTACTGGTGGAATAACAATATGAAATGGTTGTTTAAAAAATTAATTGCCTTTATGTTTTTGTCTTTCTCTGTGCTGTCATTCCTCTCCTGTGTCCTTTCAGGTCCTCAGCTTATATAACACCATAAATCCAGAAGCATCCGCTTCTCCTTGCTGTGTGTCCCAGGATTTAGAACCCCTAACAATTCTCTACTATATTGGCAAAACACCCAAGATTGAACAGCTTTCTAATATGATCGTAAAATCCTGCAAATGCAGCTAAAATTCTTGGAAAAGTGGCAAGACGAAAATCATGATGATGATGATGATGATGACGACAACGACTATGACAATAATGATGTTTGTAACAAGAAAACATAAGAGCCTTAGTTCATCAGTGTTAAAAATTTTTGAAAAAGCGGTACTAATTCAAACACTTTGGAAGTTTGTGTTCTGTTTGTTAAAAGTGCCATCTGAAACAAAGAAAGTTGAAGGCCTTATTCTACATTTCACGTACTTTGTAAGTGAGAGAGACAAGAAGCAAAATCTTTTTTTTAAGAAAAAATAAACACTGGAAGAATTTGTTAGTGTTAATTATGTGAAAGAAAAAAAAAAAACAGGAAAATCCCATTAAGTGGAGTTGCTGTACGTACCGTTCCTATCCCATGCCTCACTTGATTTTTCTGTATTGCTATGCAATAGGCACCCTTCCCATTCTTACTCTTAGAGTTAACAGTGAGTTATTTATTGTGTGTTACTATATAATGAAGATTTCATTGCCCTTGGAAAATAAAACAGGTGTATAAAGTGGAGACCAAATACTTTGCCAGAAACTCATGGATGGCTTAAGGAACTTGAACTTAAACGAGCCAGAAAAAAAAAAAAAAAAAAGAGGTCATATTAATGGGATGAAAACTCAAGTGAGTTATTACATGTATGGCTGAGCAAGTCTACGTTAAGATAAAGACCCTGAAAACACATGCAATGTACCAACTGCCCGAGGAAGCTTCTTATAAGGTTAAATCACTAAAAAAGCCTGCTAATAAAGGAAACTTTCAATCAGGATAAATCTGTAGGATTTCTTTTCTTTTTAATTGTAAATGGTTCTTTGTTGGTTTAGTAAACCAGTGAAATGTTGAAATGTTTTGCCATGATGTACTGGTCAAGCTTCAGACCTTAAAGTATTGCTGTGTAGCTATGCTATAGGTTTTTTCTTTTATCCATTTTTTTGGGGGGGATATATGTAACCATACCTGTATTATTAAAATAGATGGGTATAGAAGCCAGCATAATTGAAAACACATCTGCAGATCTCTTTTGCAAACTATTAAATCAAAATGTAAAATACTTTCTGTGTAATGTGTAAATTTTTACCATACTTTTTATATTCTGTAATAATGTCAACTATGATTTGGATTGGACTTAAATTTGGGCTCTTTTTAATGATCACTCACAATTGTATGTTTCCTTTAGCTGGCCAGTACTTTTGAGTAAAGCCCCTATATTTTTACTTGCACTACAAAGACATTTCTTATACTGTTTGCTCTACTTGTGCTTTGTGTATTGTCCATTATTATGACATATGCTACCTGGGTCGGGTCTACTCATTTTTTTTTCCTTTTACAGAGGACAGATTTGAGTTCAATGGACTTTCTTTACCTTCTGAGCATTATTACTAATCAAATCAGGCATTAAAAGCATCTTTATTAGGAAAATGGGGAATTTTATAGATGCAAAAATAATTAAGGAAAAATGTAGTAAATTTAGCAAGGATTTAAGGATCTCACTGAAACTCAGAATCTTGGTGACAGAGTTAAAAAAGATTTCTCTAATTTGGTTACTCATCATTTTCATAGATTTCTGTTGTTTTTAAAAAACGAACAACTTACTGGAAACATATTTTCCTCTAACCGGGTTTTAGCGTTCAGGGGGAAATTGAAAGATCTTTTAGTTGATTTTTTTTTTTCAAAGAAGGGGAAAAAGCCCAGGTCAGCATACGTCATTTTATTTATTTCACTGAAATTAAGATTTTTACAGATGTTCTTTGAAGGTTGAAAAGGCACAGGCTAAATTCTCCCAGGATCAAAAGATTCTTTCTTTCCTTGGAATGAGAGTTATCTGTATCTGAGGCTAGAATTTACCTTGCTTTTTATAAACAATTCACCACATCATTGCAGAGGAGATATCCCTGTATCATGGTTTTGTATGATCTGTTTATCATTTGCCACTTAACTTAGCTTGAAGATCAAAACTGATAGGTCAAACAAGGGAATATTTGCAGCTCCACCTACAGGGCAGCATAGCGAGGTATGAATTCGAAGCAAAGTCATATGGTATGGTATACTTTTTTGGAATTTCCTGGCCATTAATTAAAATGCAGAATTGGATTTGCAAGTTTGGAAACTGGAAAAGTAATAGATGGAATGCCGTAATATTAAACAACCCTTGTGACAGATGTAACCCAATCCAAGATTTGAGTGTGTGTTGATTTTTTTTTTCTCTTCACTTTTCTGTTAATTCTGTGTACATCACTTTTATTTCTGCAGGTATTTTCCTCTCAGATAGGATGACATTTTGTTTTGTATTATTTTGTCTTTCCTTAAGAATGCACTGATAATATTTTAAATGCTCTATTTTAAGATCTCTTGAATCTTTTTTTTTTGTTTGTTTGTTTTTTAAATTGGGGGGGGGGGTTTCTGTAAGGTCTTTATTTCCCATAAGTAAACATTGCCTTGGGATGGGTTGGGGGAGGTGGGAGGGAATAAGGGATGTGTTAGTTTGGGGGTGGGGCAGTCAGTTTTTCTGTGTTAAGCAGTACAATTTTATGGTTGGCATGGTTTAAAAAATGGAATATAAGAATAGCTGTTTTGTATTTTGATGACCAATTATGCTGTATTTTAACACAATGTATGTCTGTTTTTGTGGTGCTCTAGTGGTAAATAAATTATTTCAATTATATGTGGATGTGTTTTTCCTCTCATGGTACCATCATTGAGACCAGAAAATACCTGAGATGCTGGAGAAATTGGCCCACCTTTCAGATCGCCCTTGTGGCTTATTTTTGCCCGCAGGGATATTCACTCCAGAAATGTCAGGCTTTATAGCCCAAGACTCAGAGCATAGCTATCCTAGACTGAAGAAAGCCCAATGCAGTCTTTTTATTCTCTTGTTGATTGCTGTTTGGTAATTGTTTGAGATTTCATTTCTATCCAGCTTGACTGTCTATTAGAAAAAAAATGCAGAGAGATATTTGCACCACACTTTGGCTTTCTGGTTCTGCATCCTGCCAACCCCAGGGCCAAAAGAACTGGTCTAGACAGTATCCCCTGTAGCCCTATAACTTGGATAGTTATTGAGCCAGCCAGATATAACAAGAGCCGCGTGCTCTTTGGGGTTGGTTGGTTGGGAGCAGCTACTTGTCTCTCAGTTTTACCCGCACCGCTGTACCAAAAGAAAGGAAAAAAAAAAAACACAAAAACCTGTATTTCCTCAAATTTCTTTGGCTGTTACCTATAAGACCAGACTTCTCAAGTGAGTTGCCAGTCTTTTAATAAATTGAACTAATTATAATAATAATAATAATAAAAAGTAGTTTTGACTCAGCCTGGTTGTCTTGCTTTAGATAATGAATGAACTAGTTTGTGTCTGTTGTATGAATATCAATTCAGTGTTAACAGTAAGGTAGAAAGTTCTGTTTGAGCTTTAATATTCAACCTATAGACAGAGCAAGTGTTCTACTGTAAAATACTCAGTTCATGCTTCCATGTAGAGTTGTCAGTAGTGGGTCATATCTAGTTAATTAGTGTGACGAGGAGGGAAATAGGATCATGGTGATGAAAGAGACACCCAACAGCTTTATCAGCTTTGAAAAATGTGTCAGCTCCTCTGGGCCTCTGTTTCTGTGTCTTGAACATGAGAATACCTGCTTTACAAAATATTTCCTACTTGATTCTGTGCCTGTGCTGTTGAACAAATGAACATAACAAAATTACTTTGCTGGTATTTGATCTGTAGTTGTTAATCAGTGAATGGTAGTCTGAACAATATTCCTGAGGGTGTTCCGCTATTGGTTTCCTGGCAGTCCTACTGTGCATTTTTTTATTTCCAGACCATAACCTGAGTCTATATCCATACTCTCCCTCTTGTTACTAAATGTGTGAAACCTCCAGATCCTTATCTCATAAACTGACCAATTGATCAAGCCGCCAGTAATTCTTGAGACTGTTTTATATATTTTATATATTAACCTTTTGGTTATATGACTGGCCAAAAATTGTTTAAAAGGGGAAATGTTTGTCTTAAGTTTTACTTAAGTCTCCCAACTAAAATTCAAAGTAAAAGAGACAATGTGGCTGGTTGAATGACCTGCTTCCTCATGTGATGATGGTAACTGTAGTATATTGGACTCTTACAAATAGTCTGTTAACTTTTTTAGCTCACATTTAACCCTATAAGCTAGATGTTTTTAGCTGAGTTTGACAGGAAAGCAGCTAGTTCAGTTGGTTAAATTCCTGTCCAAAGCCACTGTTTGTAAGTGGAGGCTCTGGAACTTCATTTTCTGATACACTTTCACATGAGGTTATGCAATTAGAATATGGCTAATCTGAATTGAGAGATATACTAGGTGTGTAAAATATGCAACATATTTTGAAGACAGTGACAAAGAGAATGTAAAATGTATCATGTCTCATGAATAATTTTTATTGATTATATGTCTAAATGATACTATTTTGAATATGTGGGATTAAATAAAGTACATTATTAAAATCAATTTCACTTGTTTCTCTTCACTTATTTAGTTTGGTTCCTAGGAAATTTAAAATTATACACATTGATCACATTTGTGCCCTGTATTTCTATTTTAAAATTCTGGAGTAGAATTTGGAAGCAGCTCTGTTTAGAAATAGTGACTAAGCTATTCCCATAAGCTATATTACCAGCCATTTGGTAATTAGCATATTATTGAACTGTGAGATTTTACCCTACAAAACTGCTTTTTCTATAGATCAAAATTTGTTGAATATGGGCAGAGCTATAGGGTTCAGCCTAACAATTGGTACTGATTGTATTTTGTTAATGAAAATGCAAATATTGGGGAAGTCGTTTGGCCTAGGAATTAGGATACATCTTGGGATGTTGCATCTCATATTAGAGTGCCTGAGTTTGAGTTCTGGCTCTGCTGGTGCATACCCAGGGAGGCAGGAGATTATACCCCAAGTGCTTGGTTCTCTGCCACCTGTAGGGGAGACCTGGATTGAGTTCCTGGCTCTAATCTTTAGCCTGGCACAGCCTTGACTGTCGCCAGCATTTGAGGACTGAGCCAGCAGATAGAAGTACACTCTCTAATTCTTTCTCTCTTTCTCTGTCTCTTTCTCTGCCTCTCAAATAGGTTTTGAAAAAGATCATGCGAATATTATATAAGCCCCAACAGCAAAGCCCTTGATAAATTCATGGTTACCCTGAAGGAATGCATGAAGTTGGACAGCACAACCTACTCCAAGGCAAATTGGGCTATTACAGCTGACATTTTCAGCCTGCAGAAGTCTTCATTAATATACTTGTGATAACCTTTTTTATTGTACTTAAGGGGAAAAAAGGCCAGGCATTGTTTGTGTTTCAGGCAACGATCTTGAACCAACTTTGCTCTTTCTATTTAGAAATAAACTACTGTACACTTCTTGGTAACAGGCCTTGGGAGGATGGATCCAGGTTTTTTTTAAGGTTTATTTAGTTATTTATTTATTTGGAAAGAATTCCATAGAGGGAGAGAGGGAGACACAGAGAGAGAGAATGATTCTTCCATCCACTGGTTAACTCTCCAAATGACCACAATGGCCAGTGCTGGCCAGTACAAGCCAGGAACCTCATCCAGGTCTCCCATGTGGGTAGCGGGGCCCCAAGCACTTGGGCCATCTTCTGCTGCTTTCCCAGGCACCTTATCAGGGAGCTGGATGAGCAGTGGAGCAGCTGGAAGCAGGCTGTGGCTTTACCTGCTACATCATAATAACAGCCCTGGATCCAGGTTTTATGTTCCTGAAATTTATATAAGGAAGGAAGAATTCTTAAAAAAAAAAAAAGAATTAAAATTTTACTTGCAAGATTCAAGTCAGAGGCTTAGAAGAGGCCCATACAAATAAGAAGCTGGGGCATGTAAGCATCAAGAGCTACGTAGTAAGCCTAGCTCTAAGCTTTATCTAGCAAATGCTTTTGTTTCTATCAGACTATTATTACCTTTTAGCTCTAGCAAAAACTAGATCCTATCTATTTTTTTCTGATCTACAAAGTTGACTTGTTTTTCTACTTCTCCCCTTCTCTCTGCAATCACATCCTATATGCTGAACAAAGCAAAATAATGCTCACTGGGGTTAATATTTGGCACAGCATTTAAGACATCACTTGGGGCATCCACATCCTATACTGGAGTTCCCAGGTGCAAGTCCTGGCTCTGCTCCAGACTCTAGCTTCTTACTAATGCAAGCCCTAGGAGCCAAAGGGTGATGTCTCAAGTATTTGAGTTACTACCACCCATATGGGAGACCTGGATTGAGTTCCAGGCTCCTGTCCTAGACCTTGCTTAGCCCTGACTTCTGTAGGCATTTGGGGAGTGAATCAGAGGATGAGAGATCATTCTGTCATTTTGTCTGTCTTTTAAAGAAAATAAATTTAAAAATGTCTAAAGACCTTGGTTTTGTGAATATTCTGGATCAGAGGTAACAGAAGAAATGTTAATTAATTAATTTTAGAGGAGGTAGAGAATGAGAGAGAAAGAAAACTCCCATCTGCTGGTTCAATCCCTGATTGCCTGCAATGGTCAGAGGCTGAAGCTGGGAACTGGGAACTCAGTCCAGGTCTTCCATGTGAGTGGCAGCAACACAATCAACTTGAGCTAATACTGCTGCCTCCCGGGGTCTATCTGGGTACAAAAAGATGGAGTTGAACTGGACCTAGAAATTGAACACAAGTACCTGATGTGGGATGTAGGAATCCCAATCACCGCCATCTTAATAAGCAGGTCAAATACCAAACCAAGAAATGTTATTTTTATACCTCTTTTGGAACATAATAAATAAATCCTATGTGTTTAGAGAAATCATTAATAGAAATAATAAGTAAATTCTTAATAGAAATAGTAATAGAAATATATAGTGATACAATTACCTAATATTTCTATTGATGTTTATTAATATTTTAATTATATATATAAATCACATTTCCTAAAATTAAAAAAGGATTTTTTTTTCAATTTAGGTTTTCTAAATGAGAGAACTGCTTTAGGTTTTTCCCTGATCAAATATTTATTTCCCTGAAATATTTTGTAGCTGTTTTTTTTTCTTATTTCAGCAGGTATTGGCTTTTTGGAGAAGAGATGAGTGTGTTCCTGAAATTGGGCAGTGAACTAGTAACAGGAACAGAATGTTCCGAGGGAGACTTTTTTTGCTGTGTGATCAAAACTAGAGAAACCATTCAGCCAAGAGAACAGACATAATTAAACAGAAAGGCAAAAACCTTAGTGGTAAAGAGAAAGTCTCAGTATAATGTCAGACTTTGCCCTCAAAGCAGTATTTTCTTGTCTAGAGATGCCAGCCACACTGAAAGAGCATAGATGTTACTCAGGTGACATCACCAAGATTTGACTACCTGTGGAGATAGAAACCCTCTCCTTGGGACCGAATCTCTCTCCTGAATCATATAGAAAAGCCTAAATCTCAGGATGTTGGGAGCAAACAAGAAGTTATGTAATTCAATGCTGCCATAAAGGCAATATGAAGTCATGCAGTTTGGCTCATGCTCAACCATGGGTGTAACGTTAATTTCTTCATTTGAAACAAAATTAAACAGTACAGCAAACAGGAGAGCTTGAAGTCAAGTGGTTGTTCATTTAGAGAAGTATCAAATTTCACATCACTGTGTGTGCACATCTTCTCTTTGTCTCTGTCCTGCTGTTCCAAGAAACCCCTGGCTACATTCAAATTCCTACAAAGGTGGAATGTAAATAGAAGCCAATGTGAGACCTTGTGGAGCCCCCAAGGAATTCTTGAAACCTCCTGAATAGCACTCACTTGTTACAGCACTGATAATCAACCATGAGAAATTAGTCCCATAGGATTTTTCCTCCATGACATATATGTGGATACACACACATACACACAGACACATGTGTGTTTAATATTTTTGACACCTTGCTTGTATAGCACAGGAAACAATTTCAACCAAAGACACTAGGGTCTATTCTGACTCATTGACTCCATCAAGACCAGGAATAGTGAAGTCAACGAACACCTCAGAGCAGGATGGAAGTGGTACAGAAGAGACAAAGGGAGGTGAGTAAGAAAGGGAAGCAGGGGACATTGGGCACCAGCTTGCTGTGTTCTGCACATTGAGTGAAGAGTCCCGTGTCTGTGTATAGCACCAAAGCAAATAAACAAGTGCAGAAAGAAAATCTGAACAAATTGGTTAACTGGGCTTAACTTGGAGCACAGGAATCCCACTGTGTCATTCTTTCAGTGTAAATCTTG